CAGTTTTATACAGGTCATGGCCCATTCCTAAACTATCTGAATAGAATCAGCCTGAGTGACACAGAAAGTTGCCAATGTGGAGAGATGGGGGATCCAGACAACCACGTCTTCCATTGCACAAACACGGCACAAAATCGGTGTGAGGTATAGGGATGAGGTCTTGGAGCCCTGTGATTGCTTTTTCCGGTACGCAGTGGGCCCCGATTTCATCTTACAGGACGATAACGCGAGGCTACAGAGCTCTTCTGGTCGACGAATTTCTCGAGAGAGGATATTCGCCGAATGAATTGGCCAGCCAGGTCTCTAGACCTCAACCCTTCAGAGCATGTGTGGGACGTTCTGGGGAGGGGAATTGCAACTCGCAACCCCCTCCGAGAGCCATCCAAGAACTGAAAACAGCATTACTGAATGAGTGGGACCAATTCCCACAAGCACTGATAAACTGCCTTATTTCCAGTATGACATCACGCTGCGAGGCCTGTATGGCTGTAAGAAAGGACCATACCCCTTATTAACCCATTTCTTTTGTGTCTTCTTCAACCGCTGGTTGAGATCTCCAGACCCTCATGAGTGTTACACACGAGCATGTGTGTCTATTACAAATGTTGAATGTTTATTTTGTTTGTATTATATCAACTTTTGTTCACACTAAATTTTATCAAAATCTGTCCAGTAGCTCTGGAGATCGTAGATGAAATATGAAAATTCTTTTAATTTATTTCACCAGTGTATATCTGTGCATCATTGTCAAATATTAGTATGATTATTTTCGCTGTGTGTCATTCGGCATTGTCTTGTAAAAATTTCATGTTTCCTCTACTTAGGAGTATTAATTGTTTCTGATCTAAAGAAGCTTTAACTATTCTAACTGCCAAGTATATAAAACGTTTTATACACAGGAATATTTAAAAGAGAGATAAATTTTTACATGCATATAATGTAGTTATTTCTAAAATAAAAAAAAATATTATCACATGTTTCCAGTTAAAAAGAAATGTTTGTGAGATATTTAAAGATAACAATTTTTGACCGCTAAAAGTGGTCAAAAATTACATCTGCTCAGAGCTTTTCCCTTTGATATTTTTTAAAGAAGTGGCATACATATTGCCCCACCCTTGTTACAAGAACTTTATGGTAATTTTGCCCTAGAGAAGAGACTAGGGGCTTATGATACTAGTCACCATTCACGATATAAGACTGATGGTCTGGAGTCTTGGCTTTTATGTGTGAAACCCGTGATCCTCGGAAAAAAATCTAAATAAGATATAGCCGCTGGTGGTGTTTTGATCCACTCTTATCACGTATCGAGAATAAATCTAGAATCGGCTCCTTTTTTGAAGCTCGAAAATAAAAGAAAAGCAGATTGAAAGCTTCTTATGTTCCTTTATCTCTCTCAGTTCGTGCGGATCCGCCTTCACCAGTTGATATATATAAAAAAAATGGTTAATCAGTTAAGTTAAATCCTAAAAATTACGGACCTGTAAGGTAAAATTTTCACTGGTAGCGTTTGTCAAGTCAGGCCATTTAAGACAGATGGTTTTCCGAATACTGGCGCATCATCTAGTAATTAATCACCTGAGTGGAATTTTGGCATCATTTTTTACATACTAGGATTTTTTATTGCATTGCTTCAAAATGCATACCTTACAGAATGTCCCAGAAGCGTTTTGCCGTGATTTTACCCATGCAACATAGACTGCCAAATCAGGGTTTATAATTCTCTGGAATTTTATTTTCTATAATTTGTATTTCACTGGAATAGATTAAGTAATATCACTCTATAATTCAATCACGATCTTCTGTATAATGATTTATACAGAAGCGTTTTAAAGGAGCTCTTCTATGCAATGAAAACAGAACTGAATTATGGAACTTCACACTTAATAAAACTTACTTGTGTACTTTCCAATAAATGTATATGTGTCACTTATGCAAATACATGCACGATCATACAGGCGGCTTCTCCGCTGAATATCATACCAAAATGATAGAAACAGTTTTGTATAATTCAATAAAAACATGAAGTACCATACTTTTATTAATAAAATGCGTGAAGATTTTCAAGAACTTAGATTATTTCTAAATGCATATGAGCAAATTGAAGTTTAAGATTTTCAGATCACATTTGGAAAGCAACTGTAAATTAAAAACTAGTAGGTTAGGAGATTAACAGCTCTGAATAACTAAATGCCGTTACGGTAGGTTCAACAGCTAGATTTGCTGCTGAATCTGTGAATATATTGATATGAGCAATCTTTGTAAAATATGCGCCTAAAAGTATGGAAACTTTTAAATGTGAATATTTAAATATATCTTAGTAAACTAAATACAAAAAATGATATTTATTTTGTTTTTTGAATTATTAAAGCAAAGGATATTCTACAACCTGGAATATTTGTGTGAGACCATATAAAGTGTTAAATTGAAACTTTCACGATCCTGTTACCTAATGTTGAAAATGCTTTCATGACATTCTTTGTCTAATTTTGAAGATATCTGCAATTAGAATTAGGTTTCTAAGTTATCAAATACTTTCCCAGAATATTTAAGGGAATAAAATCCACAGTATAAAATACGTCATTTCGAATACTCTGTATGAGCTTAAAAATTATTTTAACCCACAGCCAAGTACAGGAATAGCATATACAAAAATGCAACAGTATAAAAACATGCACTTATTAAACCAAGTAAAATATGAAACGCATTCTTACAGAGAAAAATTACAAGATGAGGGAACTAAAATATTTTTTAATTTCGATTCTCGATTTTCTTTCAAGATCATTAGGCGTTAAGTTTATAAGGTATTTCTCCCGCCTTGTTAGCATGCCTTCGTGGTGTAGTGGTCTGCATGCTGTGAGCGTATTACAGAGGTCCGTGGTTCGATTCCCGATGAAGGCGTTGCCCATTTTTCACATTTCCTGCTTCCAAAAAAATACCTAATGTCTCTACAACCTAACATTTTCTAGTTGCTATGATGTTAGTGATCTTATGTTATGAAGTTGAAAAAAATATTATCTATAAATAATTTTTACCATTTTTCCGGTCTAAAACGTTATTGATTGTTAATGATTTAACTGTGATATATGAAGAACTACTTTTCTAGGGTGGTTAAGATTGTATTAAAAAGTAATATGCTTCTATAAACTATGTCGCCATAAAAATGCTAAATATAGAAATGGGCTTGGAGTCATCCATCTATAACATAGTCACTTAAGTTTCAATTCAGAATTGTTTCTTTTTCACAGAACTTAGAATGTTATATTACAGAAAAAATACTTAAATAAAAATTTGCAGGACATCAAAATGTTATCACAAACCTTAATCGATGTACAAAATGTTTAAGATTAAATTTATATATTTCTTTCAGCGCCTAATCTTTCAATTGAGAGAGAACGCATATACTATCGTTAAAATTCAAGTCGTAAAGAATAAATCTTTGATGCTTTCCTTAAGCTAATCAATTGTGTAGTTTTTCAAACTGTCTGGTAGTGGTTCCAGAAATATGGATCGCGACCCAGCAATTAGTCGAGAAAGCACTTTTCGTGGATTACGGCATGATTGTTTTTGCTGTATTATTACATAGTTTAATTTATATTCATAAAAAACTTACAATTTTTAATTCTTACTTAAAAATAATTACATGTCATTATTTTTTACATTTTTTCTACTACTTCGTTTCAGAATTATATGGATATAGGGGTCGGCTGGTTGCAGTTACACGCAAAACATTTACACTCTATTGTGGAACAGGTCTATAAAACAATCAACACATATGCATGATAAACATATGTAACACATATGCGTGATAAAACGGGACCAACAGTACACTTTTAAACTTAAATATAACATACTGCTTACGAATGCAGATATGAAATACTGGAGAATCCGGATTATCCATCTTCGTTAATTCAGTTCTACTTTACTGCAGTTAAACTTCTAAGGCAAGGATTACGAGCGGCAGAGCCGTAAAGTCGCTATGAAGACTCTTAATTTGACCTACATTCGACTCCTGGCAAACAATCCGGCTGCATTCGTGTTTTTCCTTATATGTAACGTAGATATGAATCGGTTTCCTTTTAACCCTCCATGAAAGCATCTTTTCCCTTAGACAGATAGCTCTCACGTGCAATCGAAACCAAACTTCTAAGACATTATTTTTCTCGCTACTAATAAACGCTTTACCATCAATACAGCGATAAGTGTACGGGATGTTAAAGATTTCTCATAATCAAAGATGTCCCTATGAAATATCATCAAACGAGTACATATTTTACTGAATAAAAGAAAGGCACGATCCCAGGATATATACATCTAGAATCCGTATCCTGCAACTGTACGATACTAGAGCGACTGCGAATCATTGCGGCAAAGAAAGAAAGGATTGCTAATAAAGTAAAATATTTCTTAAATTAGGATTTAATTGTTTGTTTATTAAATTTTATCTATTACAATTTCTCTAATTATATGTAATTTTTAAAGATGTATGGAAAAAGTTATTTTCATTAAATTATATCATTTTATTTCTGCCTAGAATAATAAGACAAACATTCGTATTAAATGCAACTCAACAATGCATGTAGTTTTTCTAAAAGCTCTCGTATGTGTAAGTTAAAATTACTGTATAGTAAGTACCACAAAATAAGTGCAAATGAATATTTTTCTTTGCTTTTTATAGTATTAAATTCACTTAATAATAAAAGGAAGCTTAAAATTGATATTGTGTCCTACAAACGTGGCGAAATATTTTATGTCCGCCGTTACTCATCGGGAACAACTGCGGCTTTCCATTTTATTTGAGCTTTCATGCATCCGACGTAGCATCGATCTATATTACTGCGGATAACTCATGTACTCTTCTGCATGGAACGTTTCAAACATTTGAGTAAATTTAGTAACGTTTGATAAGCTAGTGCATAAGAATTTATTTTGTGATATATAGACATTTTTCGGTACTTTGAAACGACGTAAAGCTTAAAGAAATATTTTCTTTCCTTTCTTAGATTTTCTGGTCGCCTTTAAGAAACCTCTTCATTCCTAGCTTCCTAAATTGCTGGTTGGCCAAATTCGCCCTCGAGCACATGTTTGTAAGTAGCCTTGGCACATTTTTATTGAATTTGATTGCACGTTTTGAATTTTGTATGGAAATAAAAAATAAACCTTTTTGTTTTAAATTACGGACGATCTCATAGAGCAATAACTTCCAACCTTTTCATAACAACGAAGGTAACGAATATCGGTTGTACGATGAACATCATCTTCATCGCATAACTTTGTAGTGAATGTAACGAACAATGTAGCGTATAAAGAAGAAATGTATAAAAATAATTGTTTATGCTAATATAAGTTAAATAAAAATTAAGGTATTAATTAACTTTAAGCGACTGTTATTAGTTATTAGTTATTTATTAGTTTACGATAAACAATTCTGTTCATGTAACTTTTAGCAAAAGATTTTTTAAGGGCATCATAATATGATTTTCCTGCCCATTAACGGTTTGTTGGTAATTCGAGATCTGAGTTTGCAAAATTTGTCCTCGTATGTAGTTATTCATCGATCAATTAAAAAAGAAAAGAGAAAAAAGCTTATTTAATGCAGGGACAAACATGCTTTCTAAGGAAGAGAACGAATGCTCAAAGATTCTCAATTCTGATTATTTTCTAAGCTTTTTTAAAATAATATCATATAAGAGACGCAAAATGTCTAGTCTCAAATCTTCAATTTTAACTTGAAAATTACATAAAAGCTTTAAGCATTTTCTTTAAGCTATTAAAATGATTATTATAAATTCAATATTTTGTTGTTGTTCCAAATGGCCGGATACTAAAATCTTTATGCATTTCTCGGGTATAGCCAGTATCCATCGGTAATTTAGTTGTCTCGTCACTGAAAGTTTTCCCCAGAATGCTCTACTTGAGTAGACAGAAGTACATCCGCGAGAAAGGTAATTCAGTCCAATGTTGATGAAGAAAACAACGGAAAGGTCCAAGCGTCTCTCAAACCGTTTCCTCTACCACTAAACCTGTAGGTAGAACATTGTGTTCATCAGTAAAAATACTGAAATGCCCGCATGCCCCGCAGACTCTACTTAAAATGCAGTATTGGGCGTTTTGCACACCGAGACAATAACCAGGTATACAAAACACACACAGTAACACGCACAGCTCGCTTGTGCCGGGTTTTGTATTACTGGTTTAGAGTATATGTTAAATATGGCATTTTCGCTCATAATGGAAAACTTGCACTTATTCATAAACCAGACCAGACTTTGAACAAACAGCAAATAAAAGCATACCCTCTATTTTTGTCTCAGTGCTTTTACAAAAAACTTAAAAACATGGATGGAAAACATGTTCGGGGATCAAGTACTCTTCTAATATTCTAAAAATATATTTTTCTTTCCCTCTCCCTTTTTTAAGCCAAGAAAAGATTCTCTTCGGAAAAGTTACCATATTATCAGCCTTCGACAGAAAGTATTTGTAAAACATGTATAAATTATTTCGAAATCATGTAAACACTCGTATGTCTATATCCATTTTGAAAATTAGACATGTCGAAAGTTTAGTAAATTTCTTTTATTATTAAGTCCAGGACAGTGTTGGAAAAACTGTAAACTGATGCAATACTACAGAGTGTGAAGACCAAAGTGAGTTATTACTTATGTATTCTCCCCAAGGATCAAGTCTGAAACAAGAACACTTCGTTAAATTTTTCGGTGATTTCTTTGGTGTTATCTCACGGCCCGAAATTAACTGTATTTGTTACTCGAAGTTCTCATTAAATTTGTAAATAGAAGCTATCCTTTTTATATGTAAATGCAGGATATTCCAAATAACACATTGCCACATCCAAAAAAATGGAAAATTTTAATAAAATATTCAAAGTTACTATACTGATCTCTACTAGCATTTCGTAAGATTACAGTGGACATTTTCCTCATCTTGAATACGAATAATATTTCCATTATTAACTCCAGTTTCACGAATTATTTAGGGGTCATCCTTGACGATGTCCTCAATTTCAAAATCTATATTTCATAGGCCATATATTTTATGAAGATCTAGCACTGCATCCCAAATATTCGGTGAACCGAAAGTCCCGTCGTGTAGATTCGTGGGAGAGGAGAGCAGATGCCTTTTCCTGCAAAATGTATGCTGTCAATGCACTAATAAAGTTCACAATTAACATCTCTTACTCTGTTTCTGAATGTTTGAATATTCGTGCATCAGGAAGACTAATCACGAAGGTTAATATTATCGACTGAACTTCAAACATAAATGTAGAAAGAATACCAGTACAGTATATAACAACGGATTTCCACTCTATTTAGAACTCACGTGGGCCACTATTGGGTTATCCAGAAAATTCTGAGGTTTTTCAAATCAAAGCGCATTTTCTTCCACTTATTTTGTTACTGCTGATAAGGAATGATCCTGATTGAAGTGGATATTTAAATATGGTCATGTTGTTTTATTCTTCCATGTATTGTTATGGTTACAGTGCTAAGAATTAAAAACCGAAAAGTTCGTTTTCATTATGTTATCCTCTTTTTTTTTTTTTTTTTTTTTTTTTAAAAAAAAAAAAGGAAAAATGCTAGTCAATCCTGTTTGAAAAGTTTAAACGTGAAAATTTCAGGTTCGATAACTATTTCCCTTCTGAATAACCATCCAGTGTAAACAAAGACATATTATAAAAACCTATCTCTGAAAATTCACATTTTACGGTTTAAAAGCTATCAGAGAGTTTAAATTTTCAAAACTTGTGGTACATGATCCTTTGAAAAATATCTGGTATGCAAGTTACTATGATACACCATACTTTAACAGAGAAGAATATGTTTGCTCGAGTACTGGAATGTATTCTTTGCTGAAAAAAGTGAACCTCTATTTTTGAAAAGTCTCATTACCGCAGACGAGAAGTGGCTGCTACACAATAATGTTACAAGAAAACGATCATAGGATAAGCTAGGAGAAATTCTTATAGTCGTTAGGTTTTTTTTAAGCAGGAGATGTGAAAAATGTGCAATGCCCTCGCCGTAACTCGAACCTGGACCTCTCGATTACGCGCCGAGTGTGCTACCGTTACATTACGAAGGCAAGCAAAAGAGAGAGAGAAAATACCTTATGACTTTCTTTAATACGATCGAGAATGCGTTGTATCGCATAAACTCAGTGCTTTGTGTATGATGTGAGTATAAAAGAACTACAAATTAAGAACTATTGCTAACAAATTAGAAAATAAATTTGAAAAAATAATCTTCATAAATGCCAGTTTTAAAAGCAGAAATAAGTAAAGGGCTGAGAATTGCAAATTTTCGAGGTGTTGCCATCCAACATGACAATCCTCGACCTCAAATTTCAATGAATATCAGACAAAAACTTAACTCGGTATGGTTGAGGTGTTTTGCGTCACCTATCATATTCACTAGACATTACTGTGTCGAATTTTCATCTCTTCAGCTCACTTCAAAACTATCTGAAGGGCCTAGAGTTTACTTCGTTGAAGAGTGTCGAACAGTTGCTCTAGCATCTCTAACTTCTTTTCAAATAAGATCTTAGCAACGTTTTTAAAAGAGGAATTTTCCAGCCGCCAGAGAGCTGATGATAAATCATGGAACAAAATAGTGGTTATATACTTCAATGAAATTTTCTTGTTTTCTTGTACTGCTTCATTTATATTTATCATCAAAAACATGCAGAACTTTCCCGATGACTCAATATTTCTCATAGCCTTTGAGAAGATAAAATTAATCTAAAGTGAAGTGCTTAGAAATGTTATTAGTCCTCCTTTTTCTAGGTAGTTCAACATTCAATGAACACCTTAATACAATATGAATAGAATGTAACCTTCTAAATCCAACGCACAACATTCTTGTGCTCATTTTTCGCTCTATTCTCCATCCCTTTCCCTCTAAGCTCGCTGAAATTTCACGAAATAAAAACTTTAGCTACAAGAAAGACTAATAGCTGCAATTAAATATATGGTTGCAAGTACAAGAAAATATAAAACAACATAAAACCGTCTATTTTTTAGTCTGCTGTCTCTTCTATAAAATTAAACGTCACATTCTACTAAGATTTTAAAACTTTCTAATTCTTTTGCAAGGTTGATCCAAGAATTTCTACTATGTGTCAAAAGAACATTACATCTTATTATTTCAGTCGTGGAGTGCATAAGATTCTTGACGTACATAATTATATGCAAATTGTAAATGAAAATATCCCCAGTTGACTAAGAACACAGGAACTCCCGATAAAGCTAAATCAGACATGTGCAACTCGCTACTACAGTCCGGATTTGAAATTAGAAATATTACGTGGGCCGAAGTACTTCAGGACTTATTTATATGGAAGCATAAAAAATGAGTGCATCTTAATTAGTTTAATCTCTCTATTACTTAAAATATTAAGTAATAATAATATAATATTAATAACAATAAATATATTACATAAAACTAATAAATAACTCCCATCATAAAATGTATTAAAATGTTAAATTTCAGAGTAAGATAATATTTCTAAATGACATCATGGTTGACACGATATAGTCAATATTTGGACGTATCGCGGACGTTGCAACTAGCAACCTTTTACCAAAGTTCGTATCAGTAATTCGCATATTTGCTCTTGGATTTCATGAACTTCATTGTGGAAAAATGGTCGCTAGCATTTTAGATGCTTAAAAACAATTTTTGTGGTTCGCAGGTGTGAGAAAATGGTAAGCATTTTCTTCTTTTAATTGACTTTAAAAGAAGTTAATTTGTAGTTAAAGCGATTTCCAGAGTAGAAGCTTATATTTATGAATTGATATGTCCGAGAAGCTCAGAAATCAACTTTTCCTGAATTCGTTATTTAGTACTGAGTTCATTGAGATATGTTGTAATTTTGAAGAGAAATTCAAGATCACACAGCCAGGATTTGCTTTCAAATCCCGAAGAGGTTTTCTTTTCATATCCATAAAAAAAGACACTTCATCTTTCAAATCATCAAAACGCTTCAATAACTTTCCTTTACTTAGCCAACGCACTTCTCAATAAAATGTGAGATTTTCACACTTGAAATGAACGTCAACCCGAAATTCTTAAGA